CCCCAAAACCCCAAAACCCCAAAACCCCCATAAATACGCAAAAATTAGTGTATTACAATAGTGATAATCATATGAAAGAATATAAAACTTAAAATGGCTAAATTATGATTTGTAATTACTCTTGATCATTTTGATTTTTCTCATGTTTCACCAAAAGCTGAACTCATTATTTTAACTACTAAGGTTTGGATTTTAGATGTTAGACTAATTGGTATTGAATTGATTAGTGGCGAATTGCTATTACTACATACCTGCATTCATTCCAACCGGCATATTGTTGATTTAATTTAACTAAGCCTGTTATTACTAACCATATTACGACACAAAACCTTAGTTACCCATGGGCATTTGTTAATTCATCAAAGGATTCACTCCCATATTATTCATGTTTCCAGCATATTATTGATTCGTCCCGAAATTAGATTAGAAGCCCATAAGATTTGGTTGGAATCCAGCATTTAAGGACATTCCTGAGGCACCGCTTGTATTCATATTTGAGTTAGTCATAAAGCTATTTTAGTTTGTTTACATTTGATTGTAGCCTTAATTGTAGAATTGTTATGGCTACTGCTATTGTTAACTTTGCTGATTTAAGTTCGAGGGGGCTATTCCCACTTACTGTTGAGAAACATTAGTGTATAAATTTTTAAAAGTCTCTAATTGATTAGTTTGCTGAATATGGTTGATCCCTGATGAGGAGATCAGAGGTTTATTCAAATCAAATAGAGGGTCAAATCCCACATTTTATTATTAGGGCTTCATTTATGTCTGCTATTATTGATATTGAGGCTATTATTGTTATTACTAAGCAAAATTGTACTGGGTTTACTGTGTTTAAAAAGCATTAGGATTTTGATTCTGATTGAACCCATCGAAGAAATTTGATGTATTGATATTATTCTATTGCTACTATTGAGGCTATGATGTAGGGAATGAAAAATTGTTACTATTTTGATTCATTATGCTAGTAGAAAATTAATTGCTAGATTATTGCTAGGTTTGATTTGTTTAAGAAGGACCAAAATTGAATAAATCATCTAAGGTAGATGAGCCACTAGACATCTGCTAGTTTAAGGAGGGCTACTAGGAGTTATTGTTGACATTGTTTGCAGTTTGAGGGACATCCATATTACTGATAAAGGTCATCAAGTCAAGGCCGTCATCCTTTTGTGGTTGGTATGAAGCATTAGTTGAGCTATGCTGCTAGTAACTAAAATCATCTTCTTCCTCTTCTTCACCATAGTCGAAATCCTCTCCTGAATCCGACTCCTACTCCTACTGCTATTACTTAAAACTCTTGAAGATAATGTCCTCTGCTGTATACAACTCATCTTTAGGTGCTGCGCCTTGAGAAAAGTTAGTCTAGAACTAATTTCTGTTCATTCCGCCTCTAAGTTGCTTTGAGATATCTTAGAGCCCCTTTGGATTTTTCTGCTTCTCCTCAATGCAAACTTTCAAAGTTTAAACAAGTACAGAATCAGGCTGATAAAATTCAGGCATCTTTACTGTGAATCCAAAAAGAGACATAATTTAGCTAGATTTGCCCTTCATGGTTTGGGTCAAATTTACAAAGTTTTGGTAAGCAACGAAACTCTTTTTAGCCTGGTCAATGTTTAAGTCAGAAAATCTTTCAAGGATTTCAGTCACTAAAACATAGAATACCTTATAGATTGTTATTAAATCCTAGAATAGTAAGTAAACTACATTTGAAAGAAGTCTAGTCCTTTTGCAGAAATTTTAGTGCTCAAATATGTTGAAAATTTCGGATATAAGTGCGTCAAAATTTTCATAAGTCTTCAACAAATCTTAGATTGCCAATTGTTTCATCTTCGGCGAGAGATCAGTCATTCTGCAATTAAGTACAGGACTCTCTAGTTTGGCATTATACAAGAATTTTATATAGGAGTTGTAGAGTTGCGATATTTCTGCATACATTTTAGACTCATAACTGGTATCAGTGGCTTTCTTTTAGTAAGAATGCAACAGATGCTCCTTCGACTTCAACTCTTATGACATTTTCTGGCTGAGATTTGAATCTTAAAGGCAACGATGCAAGATGATAAAGATCTTAGTAGTGCAAGCCCAGCTGCCTATATTCTTGAGGAACCTATCTACGATCTAACTCATCGCGTCTCTTGGCGATGTTTAGGGAATTGAGCCTCTTAGACACTCAATTACATCTAAAATTTGAATTATTAAATTCAGTTTAGCAATGATAATGGGAGTAATCTCAATGATATCTTCATGTAATACTTACAAAACACATGCTTCTCTTTTGGTTCTTTTGAATCAAGGTGATATGTGCCTTTGATTAGACTCTATATAGTTTGATAAGGGAATTAAAGAGCTTACTTTCTCAAATGACGACTTTGCCTTAACAGCAGCCACATTTCTCATGAGTTTGTTAATACCTCCTTTCATTTTTACCGAATTCAAATTAATTATTATTTTATCCTGTTTTCTTCTATTCTTTGATTAACGGGGTTTTGGGGTTTTGGGGTTTTGGGG